ATGTTTTGTTTCTCTAATTATCGTTACATCTCAACATTTTGAATTTTTTAAGTATTTTTCCCGAACTCAGGAAAGGTTAAATAAGCAATATATGGCCACTTGTCTCATCCCCCCCCCCCCCCCCCCCCCCCCCCCCCCCCCCCCCCCCCCGGAGTTGGGTTCGTCGATAAATTAAGTTCCACTCTAATTTTATGACCCTTATAGTACAGTGCATAAATATTTCCTTTGTTTGAAACTAACGACCGATCGTTATTAATGGGGTTAACTTGTATTTGGAACAAAAACCCTGAAAATAAGCAGAAAAATACGATTTTGAATGTTTTTAAATCTTTTTAATGCTTCAAATCTTGTCCACACAAAGACACTGTAACAGCAGCGCGTAGATTGTCCATGTTACCACCTGTTCGCATTCATTCTTTGCATCGTGACGTATGAGTGAATCTTTCATTTTCATCCAATCAGAGTAGAAATATGCCCAGAGTGGGAAAACTAAAAATTAAAAAGATCTGTAGCGGTGATATACTGTACTATAGCAGTGGTGGCGCCAGAAGGGGCTGGGGGTCCATAGACCCCCCCCCCCGTCGGGGAAGACGATAAATTTTGTCGGGGAACAAACAAATAAAAAAAAATACTTACATCCCAGTGGGCACAACTTGGTTGAAATAACGTTGATTCAATGTAATATGCAAACATTGAATCTATACGTTTAATTTTTGTTGTATATGAAAGTTTGCATCAACGTAAATCTCAACGTTGATTCAACGTAAAATGTCTAAGGTTTTTTCAACGCTAATTTTTTAACTTTGGAACAACATCAAATGACCGATGTTTAATCAACGTTAAATTTTGGTTGTATATGAAAGTTTTCATCAACGTAAATTTCAACATTGATTCAACGTCAAATATCTAAATTTGTTTCAACGTCAATGTTTAACGTTAAAACAACGTCAAATGATCAATGTTGAATCAGCGTTGAGTTTTGGTTGAATTTTAAAGTTTTCATCAACGTAAATTTCAACGTTGATTCAACATAAATTGTCTAAAGTTGTTTCAACATCAATTATTTAACGTTATAATAACATAAAATAATCAATGTTAAATCAACTTTGAATTTTGGTTGTGAATGAAGGTTTTCATCAACGTAAATTCAACGTTGATTCAATGTAATATGTTCAATGTTAATTCAATGTAAATTTTTAATGTTGAGTCAATGTCAATGTTTATTCCTTTAAACTTACAAAATACACTGAGTTTAAAATATACTTGACCATTTTTCTTTAATTGAAACTTGCAAAAAACATTAAATATTATGTATTGTAGCTATACAGGCATGT